ATTAATTCTAAGAATTACTTCGTTTCGTATTAATTTTAAAGAGTAATCACTTCATCTCACATTGATTTCAAGGAGTAATTACTTCACAATACTACAGTCTTTACGTACAATGTAGTGCACAAAGATGACAAATGACACCACACTCTACTCCAATGGACGCTAATGAAACTGCTAATCTGCCCAATTAGACACATATGCACAGAAACATCACGTCATCGTGAACTAATTACTGGTTTGATGTTCTCCGTCAACAAAAGAACACCTAATGGCGGGTGCGATATGAAACGCTTCATCTCATCACCTTTTCATCAGGCTAGAGTTACTCAGGTTCAAAGTTCTGATCAATCCCATTTTAGAAGGTCTTTCTTTCTTTCTTTCTTATTAACAGATCTATAATCAACTATCCATTCTTTCGTTTTTTCAAAATAAATTTTTGTCGTAATTAGAAAACACTGTCTAATTAACAATTAAACTTATCAATTTTAAACTGATATCATTTCGAGCAATTAAAGTGATAAGCTGAGTTGTGCATTCACTTATAAGCTTATAACACGAAAGAAATTTTGATTAAGGAGAGAAAAACAAGGAAAACAAGCAGCAACGTTGTAAAAACTAAATTATATTAATGATATTATGAAGAAATACTGGAATTTCTTAGATTTGAATTATTAAAATTATCGGATATGTTAATGCTTTTATTGATTTGTCCGAAATGTGACGAAAATATCTCCAAAACTGAGTGAAATTTTTATCTGATTACAGAGAAAATGTACATATAAATTATGACATATAACGTCACATAATTAAATTAATTAATAGACTTTCATTAATTAAAGCATAGCAAAAACAATGGAATCAAAAAAGGAATGTTTTTTTTTTCTTTGAAAAATGAAGAAATAAATGATGTAAAAGCTGAGACATGTTAGCTGATATTGGAATATAATATTAAAATTTGTTAAATTTCTTAGATTGTCATCCAAATTTCTAGAAAACATATATCCGATCAGAAACTTTACCAACCACCAAGAAGGAAGCTTCTAATTACAAAAAAAAAAAAAACGAAGTGAAATGCCCTGACAAGACAAAATTTCTCGATGTTTCACTGACATTTCTGAATTACAGGTGTGAAACTGAAGCAACCGATGCAAAAATTTGATGATAATCAGAAAGAATTTCGTTATAATGAATTAAAATAACCTATGAAAATTTAAGTTGATAAAATGGATGCCATATGACAGTTCTGTTCAATGATCG